TCTGGTGCGTGAGGTGTGTACGCGCTCTGGTGTAGTTTACGTTAATGGGTGTGTTGATATCCAGCCGAAGAGCAATCAACCATAACTTCAGGCGAGCAGGCTCAGAAGTTGGGAATACATGGAAAGTCATAACTCCTGAATGAGTTCGCGCGAGAGAACGTAATCTTTTAGTTTTAAGTCAGTTTGAACAATCCGGATAAGCACAAGTAAGTACCATTTTGATTAGCCGTTGTACCTACAATGTCTGTGCACTGTGTAAACAATGAGTAACGTATGCGCGTGAGAGATCACTTCCGGCGCTTGCGTAAACTACGCCAGAGCGCATACACACCTCACGCACCGGATGCCTCACAAAATGTATCGGAGCTATTTGAATTCTACACAGAGTGCTATATTTTATAGCGATATGGATGAGATTGTGGCTGGCATACCCTATCAATTGCGCCTTTACGGAGCTCAACGGCTCTGAACGGCTCTAGCCCAAGCTGTGATATAAACGAACACTATTGGCTATTTTCAAAAGGGGCGGGGCTGCTTGATATGTCCCGCCCTGTCTTCCTGTTTCAGTTAAAATGACGTCAACACATCCTGTTTCAGTTAAAATGACATCAACACATAGAGTAACGCTGCGTGTTTCTAAGCATTTCAGGGGACCTTTAACAAGGTGGTCTCGGCTCGATTGAAAACGAACTCTGAAGCGGTTCGCTTGTAGTGAGAAAACAATCAGATTTTAACAATTTAACAATTTTGGTCCATTTAGAAGCTTTGCCGTGTGAAAGCGAACCGCACCAAGAATAAAAAGCAACATTGTAATAATTGTAATCCCTGTTTCGGAACAAAGCAATCGATCTACAGGTGTGAAAGCACCCTTACATGCCAGCAAAGTGTAGAAGTAGTTTCACTCAAAAAGGAAACTTAAACAAGCACACATGAATTCACACAGAATAGAAGCCGTACACATGTCAACAGCATTTAGAGAGTTTTACTCAACATGGAAACCTTAAGAGTCTACATGAGTATTCACACCGCATAAAACCCTTACACCTGCCCCCAGTGTGGAAAAAGTTTAATTCGTTGATGGTTTGGGGATCTGACAGTCTCGCATTACACTGTGGTTTTAAATGTGATGCACAAATTGAAGTAATTGTAACATGTTTTTGTTGTTACTTTCATGCAGTTAATGTTTCTGGATTTATTTGCCATTTTAATTTGTGCAGTTCTTGAGGGATGGTCAGGATCATTCAATAATATTTTTACAGCAGCAGTCTGTAGGTTTTGCCTCATTGTCGCCATCTCTGTTGGAAACCTGCAGTTGCAGTTATCAGCAGAATTTTCATGTGTATGTGGCTTGTGCTTCAGCACGGCTCTTCAGGGCGGATTAATCTAATGTTTTGAGGAGTATGTGTAGCCGTCAGTCACCGCACCAGTGTGGATATTCACTGTACTTTGGTGTTACATATACTATGTATTGGAAGTATGACTAAAATAAGACATTTCACTGGAAAATATCATCTGAACAAATAACGTGTCTGCCTTTTTTGTTCTGACCGTCTAAGAAAAAGAAGCATTACAATAAATTGCGCTACCAGTGGTGATTAAATCTAACGATTGCTTTGCTCATATCACATCAAACCATGCAAATTATTATTATTATACTTTGTTCTCAAATTGTTAATGTTAACAACATCAGCATTGCGTGACTGTGTATTTAGTGTGTATTAGCGTCCGAAGTCTTATGCTTTTGACTGAACTGCCAGTTGTCACTGATGATTGTCATTTGGACCTTTCTGGCCATCTGCCATCAAAGTGACAAGTTTAATTCATACCTGTCAATGTTAAATACATGAAGCCCCGTACATGAAGCCCCGTGCATGACAGCAGGAAAAAAATATCAACTCACAAGAATGTTTTATTAATCATTGGTTTTAGTATAAATATGAGTATGTTTTATTATTCGTTCCCTTGGTTTAAGCTCCATTGTTTTACATAAAAATATATATTTTTTTAG